AGTGGACTGGTCTCAGTTCATGTAGAAATTGCCGCTCATTCATCAACACAGATAAAATGAATATTAACCCTCACCACACATACCTACAAATAGAGTTAAGTAGACCCCGCCCTCTGTTTTTCACCAATACCTAAATCGCGTAAAAGCTAAGGATTGCGACGATTCTTTGGTGCCCTGGAGATAATCAATTTTACAGCTTCCCGGAAAAGTAAATAGCCCTTATTATTTTTGCACCTTCCCCGAGAATTTGAAATCCCTGAACCAAATTACCTTTGACCTGTGACTGATCATAATGTTAGCCAGATGAGCGATTGAAAGTCAGTCAGCGCACATCTTCTGAGTGTTTCCATAGTCGTTATGTGATAAGGGACGTGACAACATGTGAAATATAATATTTAATGTTTCTCATTGATTGTTGTGGGTGCCAAGGTCACGTGAAACTCAGATTAAGGTCGTTTACTTGAAATGATGTCGGTTAGCCTCTTTAAATTTACACCTTTTTACTGTGGTTTTTAGGTAATGTTGCTTTGAAATTTAGCACCCATTTTAGCTTTGAAAACTAGGCATAGTTTGGTATCAGTTATAGTGCCTATCCAACATGTTGCAAGGTTGTCAGTGCTGGTTAACATTCTATGGATAGCCGGCGGAACGCCTAATGGATGATCTGGCGTGACCCGTCCTACCCGAAATGCTTTGATTATTTGAACAAAACAAGTGCAAATTCGAAGTCAGGAGGAAGCCAAGTCCCCGGCAAACTTCACTTGGATAAATTCTAGCAGGATCCAATTTTTCGTGCTTTTGGGTTATTAACATGATCTGGGAGGTCGACCAATGACCTAGGATCTCAACATTGACCAGGACATAAAGATAATTGGCTTTCCCTCGTCACCGATGACCAGGACCCTAAAATCATCGGATTTCTCTCGTCACGAGGAGCGCGCTCTTTTTTTCTTTTTCAGCGAAGCTCTGGCTCTATATTATAAAGGGCCGAACGACTGAGGGCTACGCCCTACCGCTACATGTAAGACGCTTAAAAATGCTTAAGCGGGTGCGGTTTAAATATCGATTGGTTTTTAAGTGCCGAAATACTTTAATTTATTTCGATCGCAGTTTAATGACCGCTCGAATACACAATAACTTCATGAACAATATAAGCATCACATAAAATGAATCGTGAGAGAAGCGGCTCAAGATTGAGGAGCTATGAGACACTTAATGAAAATCGGCATAGATTAGAAACTACACTTAACTTGCACTGCCGTTTTAAAACCTTTTCGTTGCAGACTGATAGATGTTTTAGGATTAATTTCATCTGACGCTCAAATGATGCAGAGCTATTCATTCGTTCATTCATGCGACCATCCATTCATAAAAGAACTATCCAGTGATAAAAATGTTCATTTTAGAGAAGTGTGAAATACAAACTCAATAGTAGTTTAATGATACGGCAAATTTGACAGATTTTTATAATGAATAGACCAATAATTTTAACAAATCAAAGTTGAGAGCCCCAAATGCTCTCCCGAGGGCATTTTAGGCCATCACAGTGTTTGTCAACAATTGTTGTTGTTGGGGGGGACTGGGGAGGGTGGTTGCGGGCTCATAAACTGTCAAAAAAAAAAAACGAACCGATCATCCGCAAAAGAACTATTGAGCTCGAACCGAGCTGACGAATCGATTTAAAGGTATGGAACATGACTAACGATGCCATTTTTTTTTACTTCTTGTGTTCCATCCAGATTCCATCATCGTCCAGATTCCATTATCTGGATAGCACGTCAACATTCTATGGGACATTTTGCAACAAACGTATACTATTTGGCGCGATTAGCCTCAGAAATGTTCTGAAACTAAAACCGTTTCTTCGCAATTAACTTTGCCCACGTGATCCCAGCTTATGCACGACAAAAATAAAATACTGCTTCAGGATCACTGGCCTGAATTCCAATGCTTAAGGTTTACTTAAAACTGGTGTGGCTGAGGCACTATTCGCTACATCTCGTGACGCCCGTGACGGCCACCATTGTGTTGTATCTTTTTGGTAAGCTATAACTTATTAACGCAAGGATTGGTGAGTGGGTTGAAAACAGCCCTCCCCCTTTTCTTCTTCTGGAAACATAAGTAGGTAATCGAAAGATCAGGCGATGGTTCTCCACCTCGTCTGCCGCAGCGCTGCGAGGCCTCGATTCGTTCGGTATGTGGCTTCCTGAGCGGTCCTCCCCGGAGGCAAGGTGAAAGGTCATGGCCTGTATCAGAAATTTATACGTTCCTGAATATGTTTCACAGTTCTTCCAAGACCTTGGACACCGTTTTATAATATCGAAAAAGCGTTGCACTTTCTTGTTAATCAATACATTTAAAGAAAACTTTATCACAATCTCATACTGCGGCAATTGTAGTTCTGCTTACGGTTGCCTCTTTATGATACGGGCCACCACCACCTCCACTGCGCTGGAGCTCTGGCGTTCTACCCCTCCCCGCTACGGACCGGCCCTCGGGCTAGGTGTGTTAGTACTGAGCGCAAACGTGTAGTAGTCACGTGACTTTCATTCACGTAGCGGGAGCGGGAGCTAGTGGCGATACCAAGGACGGGCTCTGGGGAGGCAACCGGCACAGAAAAATAGCACGATTGTAGTTTTGGAAGAATATCTGTTGCGGTAAGAGGAATTGTGCAAAACATTCATCCTGGAAGCAAACATGTGTTATTCCTCCATACTTTGCGCTACATTTCTTTTCTCCAATGGCCAGCACTTAGCAAATAATAACGCAATTCTAAATTGGTAATATATGTGTACAGTAGCAACTGCGGGTCCCTGTACACAATCCGCACATGGCGTATTACCTGCGCTGCGTGGGTTGGGAACTCGCTTTCTGCGAGTACAAATATCCGCTGGTAGGGTGTCCAAATCAGCTGGAGGGTAAAGTACCCTCCAGTGGCGGCGTTCAAGGAGGAAAACGCCGCCAACCCGCCGGGAATCGAACCCGATATCTTTGATATTGCAAACCGATGCGCTACCAACTGCGCCACAGGCGACCTGATGCAAGGCGACTGAAATGTCGGTGATATCAGATTGAAATGAAGAACTGACGGCGGACTCGAAAGTAAAAAGGCTTATCTTAGACAATTGACATGAATCCGCCTATAGTGTTTTAAATAGTAAGGAATAGTTTGGACAAATATTTCATTTGCATCGGGAAAGATTTATTTATCCAGGCTTATTTTTACCAATAAAATGTGCTAAGAACGGTCTGCAAACTTCACCACAATGCGCCAGATTCGCGGACTGCAGAATATTCTGCTGAGCGTTCCAGCGAAATATTCTGCCGGCCAAGACGTGACGTCATCCAAACAATGATTCAAATGTCCCAAGCCCGTTAAGTACCCTCCTAACTCACAGAACGCAGCCCCACAGCTGTTACAGTTACGATTACAATTGCCTTGCACATCTCTACCCCTGCACAAGGCCTGCACAAGCACGCAGCCGAGCCAAAAAGCGACTATTGTGGCGCGTCACATTTCAACACTCGTTTGAGCGTCGAAGTCAAAAGTAAAAAAAAAAAGTTTCAAAACCAATGCCGTGCATCAGTGGGATATCTATTGGTATATCATAGGAACCTAGGTATAGCAGCCGACAAAGCCAGCTTCAGGAAACACTTACCACCAACTTGTCACACAAGAGAAGGCGCCCACACAACTGTTGAATTGTTTTCAGTGTGGTTATAGGACTTGGCAGCCATGACACATGCGTGATCAAGGCAACCTGCGTATAGCATGTCACCTACCTTGGCGCAGCGAGTTACACGATGCAAAACCTGCGTGATGCGCTTACTCCGTGGGCGCGAGTAACGCCTGCGGCCACAACCCGCTGCGGACGAGTGATTGACCCCGCCAGAGGAGGTTTCATGTATCCGCGCATGACGGGTTGCTGTTTTACCCGAGTATAGCGGGCGTTGACACCCGTGAAGCGGGTGAAAGCTACGATGATAACGGGATGCTCTGCGAAACGCGGGAAGCTAAACGGGTAGTCAGCCTACCCGGCAGCAAAAACTCGCGCAGAGCGGGTATTTTCTTCAAAATACCCGCGATACTCGGGCCAACTCGCAATCCGCGGGTTGAATTGTTTTCAGTGCACGGTTTTCACTTTCTGCTACATGGGCGTGCGACACATGTTTTATGGCTTATTTTTCACGCCGAATCCGATGGTAATGGTTATATGTGACCCCAAGTCACTGTGCTGGTGATAAGTGTGCATTGAAAGCATAAAAAATCGTTTATACTATACATAACTAAACGAGGGCTAAGAAAAAAGGTCAATTTTTCAACTTTTTATTTTTGACATAAAAATGCACTTTTCTAGACGAGCTTTGTCCCAGGAATCTAGTGGTGCCATTTGTTTTCACATGCGATGTTCAAAAGTGCCTCTAATTCACGAAAATGCTTATGACGTCACCATGCCCTATGCATGTTGGAGCTATTTTTTACACTTTGGGGGTCAAAAATCAAGATAGAAAGTTGAAATTTGGGGCATCTAATGTTCTAATAGAGCTCTACAACATATATTCCGGTTTTTTGGAAATTCCCAAACTTTTGGATTTTATCAGCTGTTTTCCAAAAAATATAGTTTTTTGAATTTTTAGGGGTGAAAAACGCATTTTATGCAAAATCCGAGATAGCCATTTTAAAGAACTCGTTGAGTTGCGTCTTTTGATGTCCTTAATTTGCAATTTGCTTCAAACCCTGATTTTTGGCGATTTTTTAAACATTTACCACTTTTTGACTAAAAACGCCATGTAGTTACATCACTAAAATCGATATATCTAAAAAAAAATTGGAAATTTTTTCTTAAAAATTGCACAGGAGACGTCAAATTGATGGGGGAGAAGGTATGCCAAGTTTCAAGTAGATAGCAAAAGTGGTTCATGAGTTATTCAAGAAAAACGGAGGGGGGGGTCGGATCCGACCCCCCCCCCCCCCCCCCCCAGGCGGTCGCGGGTTAAACAGCTTTTCTGGGAAGACTCCAAGTCCTAGCTGTCAAATCTATTTTGAAGGCATGCAATGGTACACTGCATGCAGAGCACAATTATTGATTTACTTCCTTTTCCGCTATAGCGGAAACACTGTTCACACTAAAGTGTAAACTTGGTCTCAGTCTGGGCTCAGACTGCAGCTAAAAGTTCCCCAGTTCCAATCCGATCCACGTGGTCCGATCCTTGTGCGTCATCCCTGTGGTATCCCCACCCGGCGCCGTCCCCCGTCCCTCACTGTCTGGCGCCTGCCCTGCCTGGAGTATCCCCTACCTCGGTTCTATCCGGTGTATCCCCTCCCTAGTATCCCCCCTCAGTTCTATCCGGTGTATCCCCTCCCTAGCATCCCCCCTCAGTTCTGTCCGGTGTATCCCCTTCCTCAGTTCTTTCTGGTGTACTCCTCCCTCACTGCCCTGCCCTGCCCGGCGTATTCCGGCACATCCCCTCCCTCACTGCCCTGTCCTGCCCGGCGTATTCCGGTGTATCCCCTCCCTCACTGTCCGCCCTGCCCGTCGCCGACCACCTCCCTGAGCACCTGCATCACCTCCCGAGAGAAGCGCTCGGCGTGCTGCGGCCCGGCGCGGCCGTTCACAAAATTCAGGTCGTAGCAGAGCCGGCCGGCCACCGTCTGGAAGCAGTGGCTGCCGAACGCGCTGGTGGTGGCGTGGTCGCGGTACGTGCGGTGCAGCTCGGCGGCACGCACGTGTACCGTGCGCGGAAACACCGTGTCCAGCGAGCCGATGTTGTTGATGCCGTACAGGATTTTGCTGCGCGGCGGTACGGGCGCGGTCGGCGGCGGCGGCGGCTTCTCGGGAGGGCTGAGGCCGCGGTAGAACGGCTCGATGGTTTTCAGCAGCAGACGGCTGTCGAGGTGGTCGTTCAGTTGGTCGCGCACCTGAGCAGCCAGCTGCCAGAAGTGGTCGCCGTCCGTGCGAGACACACGCACAGAGTCGAACAGGAGGCCGGCACCGGCCATGGGCACACCACGCGCCTCCGGCAGGTAGCGGCGCATGTTGACCATCCAAAGAGTGGGCAGTGAGACGGGCGGCGACACGGCGCCGGCCGGCGCGCCGGGGGCCGCCAGCAGGCGCGCCGCCGCCAGACTGACGGCCGCCGACACGGCCGCGTTCATCGTCACCCCGTGCTGGCGGCACAGGGCGCGCAGACGCTCCGACTCGGGCTGCGACATCACCTGCGGCAGCATCTGGTTCCAGTAGCTCTCCAGCGGCCGGTCCGGGTCCAGCGGTGCCACGAACCGATCGAGGAACGGGTGCTGATCGCGGCCGTACCAGACCCTCATTGTGCGCAGCGCGGCGCGCGCCAGCGCCAGGCTCAGCGGCGGCCGCGGCTGCTTCTTGACGAGCTCCTCCACCGGAGCGGGCAGCGGGGCCGTCTGAGAGACGTCCGGCTGGCCGCCGGCCGCCAGCCGGTCCAGGTTCTCCAGGAAGCGGCCCAGCAGCAGGCCGTTGCTGGAGCCGTCCGTGATGCTATGGCAGATGCAGAAGTAGAGCACGGCCCGGTGCGGCGCCGCTGTCGGCGCGGCCGCCAGGCCGGCCGGCTCGTGCAGCAGCGCCGCCTTCCAGAGCGGCTCGGCGGCCGGGTCGATGTGCACGTGCCGCAGCTGGCGGTGGTGTTCGGCCAGCCAGTGACGGGCCGGGGGAAGTACCGCCAGCGGCACGTCCGGGCACGGCCCGGCCACCAGGTGCTCGGCGCCGTCCACCCGCTCCACGCGCGCGCGCAGCAGCGGGTACTGCCTGAGAAAGGGGACACCCGAGGAGACATCAGAGGGGCCAACTGTGGCTGTGACACTCGTACTTGCACGGTCCTTCTCCACACCGACCACGTTTCCATGGGTATCACATCCGGATCAGCAAATTTAAATCGTATTATATTTCTCGAACTCTTCGCTACAGGGTAGAATTCAAAGTGGATTAGGCTTATATAATCAGTTAATCCCTTATTTTGATTTTCATATAGTGTCCAACTTTACCGGATTAGCTAATCCATTTTCACTGATCCGGATCAGTGATGCCCATGGAAACGTGGTCACTCTCTTTGTGATAATCCATCACATTCACACCCCGAGTCAGCACCGGCCGTTAGCTAAACTGTCATTAGACGTTCAATTTAGCATTTCGTTTGAACACTTTTTATCGGACGAGAATGATAGGTTAGATTGAAAACATTGCTAAGTCTCATCTCGCTGATAGAAGAGCTGTCGACACAAGCAATTACGTAGTCTGAAGTGAACACCGGCACTTTGAAAGCTTCAAAGGCATGAGCCGTGAGCGGATATATGGTGCAAATGTAACCGCATCCTATCCGGCTGCTCATCAAACGCATATTCACGACGGTTACCTTGGCCCTTGCACACATTTAGTCACATTTGGTGCGATCTCGTCAATGATTCTTAGAAGTTTTTGGCTTTGGTTGCAGTTAGTTGCTTAGCAGTGCTTATCAGCTTATGTGTCTAACTTATCCCAGTAAACATGCCGACGTCGGCAAACATCGGGGTGACGTCGGCATCTCGGCATCGGCATGCCGACGTCGGCCCGACGTCGGTCCGACCTCGACACGACGTCGGCTGGATGTCGGGTACGCCCGCATGTACCGACGTCCAGCCGAGGTCCAGCCGACGTCGGACCGAGATCAATTGCTGAGGTCCAGCCGACGTCGGGCCGACATCGGGGCGACGTCGGACCGACATCGGCCACTGTTTTGACCGTTCAAATAATATAAAATGCATGTTTCATAAAGAGCTTCTGTATTCAAAATATCCTCAGGAAACTCGAATCATCCTCCACGCCGCAACCCCCTGATCCGGACTGGACGGGAAACTTTATCCCATTTGGGATTGCCCGTAAGCCGAGCTCGCCCGCAGCCGGGTGCGGTGAGTGCTTGGGGGCTGCTCGGCCTATCCTTTGGTCAGGCTCAGCCCCGGCAACTCACCAGGGCCGGGCCCAGTTCATATAGAAAGGCCAGTCGGCAAGTGTCACTTTGCGGTACATACAACCATAACACGTCGGACGTCGGTACATGCGGGCGTACCCGACGTCCAGCCGATGTCGGGCCGAGGTTGAATCGACTTTGGGCCGACGTCGGGCCGAGCCTCGGGCCAACGTCGGGCCGACGTCGGCATGTTTACTGGGATCAAATCATCAACAATTTTTTTCGATTTTAATTCTGAAATAAATTCCTGCTTCGAAGATGCTTGCTGTTAAAGACATTTGGTTGGATTTGTTCAAGGAAGCAAGTTATTTGCAAGATAAACGTTGGTGAAAACGGCTAATGAATAGCTCATATTAGACTACCCAACCTTTACGTTAGGAGAATTGCTTCATATGAGACCTCTTCCAAGCTCCATACGTCAGGAGAATTACACCAGGAAAACTCTTCCTGCCTTCCATAAGTCAGGGAAATTCACAGGGACTCAAACGAGGCTAGAAACGAGCAAGCACTGTGCGTGCAGTGCGCACTGCGCATGCGATGTCCGAATTTCATGCTGAAAACGGAAGCGGAAACGAAAGCTGACAGAAGCTAAGAAGGCCGTCGGGAAACCACGGCAGAGAGTGGGTCGTTGAAACCTGACGTGCAGAGTTCCCGTCAACCGAGTGGTTATCATTTATTTATTTGCTGATTTAGCTTTAAATACGATACGCAGTACGCAGCTTGTGTCGGAACGGCCACAGCCGTCGGCACAAACTGAAGGACATCAGCCGATCACAAATGGATAAAGTATCGAAAATCGAAGCACGGCGTTTCGAAGACGTTTCCTTATTTATCATCTCAAGACCTTCCCGCTCACCGCACCGTCCCTTCTGCCCCCCCCCCCCCCCCACTGCAGCCCGCGTCTCCCTCCCTGTGACATCAGTCAGTGGTAGGAGTATACGCACCTCTGCAGGGCGGCCAGCGCACTGCGCACATGCTCCGGCTCCAGACGCCGCTGCGAGTCTATGACCAGCGAGTAGACCAGCAGACCGGTGCCCTGCTGCCGGAGGAACAGCCGGTTCCAGCCCGACTCCTGGAGGCCCATCCGGCGCAGACGGCGGCCTTCCACCAGCGCCAGGATCCCCACCTGCAGAGCCATGGTGTTCGCTAGTGCACTGCCTGGAGGTCAGAGATTTGAGGTCAAAGGTCAGGGGACATAGAGCGAGGTCAGAGGTGAGAGAGGCTAGAACAGATCACAGGTATGAGAGCTGAGGAAGTGTTCACTGCAGAGTTTAGGCCAGATATAGGTCAGGGTCACACACAGGGGCGGCGGATTCGGGGGGGGGGGGCAGGGGGGGCAGCTGCCCCCCTGGCAAACTCGTGGGGGGCAAAAGTATCTTTTTGCCCCCCATAATTTGTGACAAAGCTTAGACAAGAAATGAAGAAACCATATACCTGATTATTCTGTTCGATCATCTGAAGATGTGACCTTACCAGATGCCCATATACTTTATCATACGTTGTCTTTCTTAAATGGCAAGCGTTCACGTTCAATTGAAGTTTTCCTCCCTTCAACCTAGTTTTGGAGGCATAATAAGCGTCAACGTGACGCAGCGGCAACCCAGGCCTTCAGTGACCGCTTACAGGGGCGACGGATGCGGGGTGGCTGAGGAGGCATCGTTCCCTAAAAATCTTTTGGAGGAGGGACAAACGTATATTCTTGCCCCTCCACAATTTGGGCCCTAAACATGAGGAAAATTTCCATAACCTGATATTGCAGCTATGCGCTCCTACAGTTGGTCCAACGGTGCCTTTTGAATATGTGTATATGTATGCTAACCATTTCCGCTTTATATCATTTTTTTTATCTTTTCAGATTCGATTTATAGATGTGTGCAAGAGACGCAACTCATACCTTCAGTGGTCGTTTGCTTCTAGTTATTTTGTACCTACATAAATGCGGAATCGCAAGCGAGCGGAGACTGAAGGGCTAGCCATTCGCTTGCGGGTAGTTAGGACTGATGAACGCTCATAATAAGCCACTCCCCTGATTTTTTTCGAGCGCAACAGTTTCCAGCGCATAAAATGGTAAACGCCGAGGTCGTACACATTGACGGCATTGACCAATGACCGGTATGGTATGACACCCAAAGGCCAGTCATCAGAGATCTGCTTTGGGCATTCGGAGGCTTGTGTGGGGCCAGTGTAAAAACTGGATGTTTACAGTTCAGTATCCGCTTTATTTCAGTTTTCACCATTAAAAAAGTAAAAATTAATGTTGGAAACTTTTGAGGGTTAGGGCACGATCATTAGTGGGCCCCCCTCTGTCTAAATGCTGACTATAGAATAAAGAGCATCAAGCACTTTACACGAAAGCAAAATCTGAGGCATTTTGAAAAAATGAATATGCCCCGGAGCGTCCGATAACTACCACCTTCCAGTGGGTCAAGCCAACGGGGCCCAAGTCTATAATGGCACTTATCGATAGCACTAACCTTGTCTCACTTTTTGTTGAAGTCTGTTCCGAATGGTTTCGGCCAGAGACTGGCTGCACTGAGGTCGTTTGGTATGTGCAACTGTAATTAAAGCCACCTGAGGCACCCTGACACCAGGCTGCAGCTGGGTTGGAAAGTCTTTGCAGATATCACTGGCCGCTGATTCTCGAGTGCCTGAACCGGTAGATGTCGTGGCAAAATTTGGTGTGATAATTTGGACTAGATATGTCAATCGGATACCGACTTTTTGGTATACCGATACCAAACCGATACCAACTTGGTATTTGGTATTTCAATCCTAATGTGTTTGGTATTTTGTTGGTATCATTAACCCCCACTAATGTATAAAAGGCTAAGAAATCGGTAAAAAGTTGGTATTTACCTCATGTTCCCAAGTTGGTTTGGTTTCGGTATTTCTCCACGGTTTCGGTTGGTATTTGGTTTGGTATCGGTATTCAGATTTTCCGTAACTGACATCACTAATTTGGACCTTACCGCAGTCAGCGCAACCTAAAGCCCTAATAAAGAAACGCCCTACCCAGAGCTTCTGGATTCTCGTTCCAGTCCACCGTTCCTTCACCCCAGCCCACCGCCGCGCTCCCTCACCTCAGCCCTCCGTTCCCAGCTTGACGAGCGTTTGGGCCTTATTAAGCCTTGCTGTAGGCTAACTGTATAAACCCATCGAGACAGCCCGTCTCGGTGAGCTTTGTTGGCGAACTACTGCCTTGGGGAGGGTTTCTGACGGATCGCTGTCCCAATAGGTTTAGATGCGACCGACTGTCTCTGAATGTTTGAGCGGTCTCCTCCCGCTGTGAGCTAGTTTCATGGTTGATATCTGTCTCAGAAATACTTTTAAAGGAAGGTTAAACAGAAATCGAACGTAAAATGAACAGAGGAAATGGTAACGAGTTACCTCATTGAAGAATAGCGCTCGTCTACTTCAAAAGGTTTGGAACCGTTCTTCAACATCTAATATGCGATCGGGTTATGGCACAACTTTTCCCATTGGAGCTTTTTTTCTAATACAGCAATACGAGAAGCGTTACATCGTCCACTGGCGGATCCAGGGAGCGGGCATTTAAAGCAAATATTTACTGTCCCTCCCCTGGCCCCTGTACCGCCCGTAATAGACAAAACGTACCTTATGTTTCCTAATAATAACACTTTTATCAGGATTTTTTTTTGCTTTATACTGTTCAGCAGTAGATCCGTAAGGAATCGAAATCCGAGGTGTTTTGGATTTCGGACACTTTTTTTTGGGGGGGGGGGTATGTCCCCTACAGCGTCGAAAACGCCCTTCTGGATCCACCTATGACATCATCTCGACTGGGATCTTGTCCCCCCCCCCACGCCAAAATCGAATCCGCCGCCACTGGTCACACAAGGGCAGAGGTCGGAGTCAGTCGGATAGAGGTCGGGGTCACACATCGGCCAGTCACACAGCACACAGGCAGAGACTGCAGTGTCAGTCGGGCAGAGTCCGGAGTCACCTAGACAGAGTCTGGAATCGCACAGCTCACAGGCAGACTGCAGTGTCAGTCGGGCAGAGTCCGTAGTCGTCCACACAGAGTCTGAAGTCACCCAGCTCACAGGCAGACTGCAGTGTCAGCCGGGCCGAGTCCGGAGTCACACAAGAGTCTCAAGTCACACAGCTCACAGACAGAGACTGGTGTCAGTCGGGCAGAGTCCGGAGTCCGACTCCAGCGGTCCGTCTGGCCGGTCGATTCCCACGAGTCGGATAGGTGTCAGGTAACAGCTGACTGGAGCACCGAGCAGGACAGAGCGGGTAGAGGGCCGGAGAGGCAGGGAGAGAGGTGTCCTGTTGCAGGCGGCACTTACCGGCTCACATTCACAACTGACACATGAGCCACTGTTTGGCGCTGGCTGGGCGCTGGCCTTGGCCCTCAGCCACAGAGACAATCACTCCAGCCGGCCCTATCTTATCCGAAGCTTTAGCTGTGACATATGAGGTTTAGCGGATCGTAAAACGTGTTGTCAAGTGGATCTAACCATGCCTTTTGTTTGGTGGTCTACGCAGGGTCGATGGTTTCGTTCATAGGTCTTAGGAGTGGACAAGCTGGTGTGTATGTGGGATAGGAGGGGGGGGGGGGGGGGCACCAATGCTTGGTGCCAGTAATAAATAATTATTTAGTGGATAGAGGGGCGGTGTGCATGGCTGCATGACAGCAATGCTGCAGAGGGCACGGGGTCGGGATATCTGATCTATGTTCTACAAATAGATTGTGGCAAGTCAAATACGAGTGAAGTGAAATACCTAATCGCCATTAGTTACATATAACTACCTGGGCTGCGAATGATGATGTAACATTCACCAGATGATCGTTTCGTTTGATGGCGTAATTCCATGACCTCAAGGCTCAAGAACTGAAGGCATAGTAACCTGTTATCGACCTCATTCAACCGAATAGGAAATACGGAAAATACGGACGGACGCAAAGCCGGTGGTCAGGACTCAGCATATCGCAATTGCGGCATGCAGCACAAGCTGCATTTTGACCTCTCTTCATCTATCCAAATGTTCAATGTCAAAACACTGAAAAAAAGTTGGTGAGCCGTGAGACCTTCTCCTCCCCTTCGGTGATTCACACCAGGCGGCTCCGTTTCGCGATGCTGTGCAACACCCAGTCGCCGGGGCGCCAGCCAATCAGCGCATCCAGGCGTCAGCCGTGCCGCGCGCTGATTGGCTGCCGTGTCGACCGGCAGCGTGGGAATATTTTGGTTCTCATGAGGGGACGGAGGGACGGAGCGCGCATCTCGCAGCTTCCTGCCGATACCGGTCAGTTTTGATTTGGACTGGGAGTGGTGTGATGTGTTGCGGAGGATAGTGTTGGCTGACGTTCCTCATCATGGACAGCGCATTTCGTGAGTACAAACCTACATATGTTATTATTATCGCATGGCCCCCTTTTTTTTTGCAAAAAACGCTTAAAGGGGCTGATCGTGGCGAAACGTTAGGTAACATCGGGCCTCGAGTTGATGAACTCTACATCCATCCTGAAAATTTAACCCTAGCCGGCACATGGGGTGGGGGTGGGGGGTTGATGCAACCCCTCCCAATTTTTTTTTGTTCGCGGATAACTCGCGTAAAAAGCGGCCGATCACAACGAAACTTTCAGTACCCTCGCATTGATCAATTGTACACCTACCCTGAAAAGTTTATGACCCTGACCCCAATGACCTTTGACCTGTGGGTTGTGACCTACTTTCCGAGACCATGTTCGGCCGGAAGAGACCATGTTCGGCCGGAATCGCGATTCGGCGTGTCAGCTCATGTCCGCGCGTTTCCAGTCTTTTTGTGATTGTAAACTGACTGAACCACAAACCTGTTTAAACACGTTCAAACCTGTGAAATGGTGTTGGTGCCATTCATTATGGTGGTTGTCAAGGTCACGGGATGGTCAGGTTGAAGGTCATTTACTTTTGATGACCTTGGTTCACTCTTTCGAGTTACATGTTGCCAGGGTCTTTTTTAAGCTGATTTCGAATGTAGCCTTCACTTGAACATTTACGAAGTAGTTTCATATGCCTGCTCAGTGCTCGTGCGAAGTCAGCCTTACCAATACCGTGGTTTTAGTGCATTCTTAACATGTAACAGTAACGACGCCGTCAGTGGTGGCTCACTCCTACAACGGATAGCCGGCAGGACGCTTACTAGATGACCTGACTTGACCTGACCCAACTCAACCTAGTCGAAATGCGGTAAGACTCATTTGGGATCAAAACTAACATGACATTCGTGGTCAGCACCCCGAAAAATATTACAGTCTCGCGTTATGAAGTTCCAGCAGGTCCCGATTTCCCCGACTTGTGGGCCATTGACCTGACCTGGAAGGTCAATTAATGACATGCAATCTTAAAATAGGGTAGCATCGGCTTCCTCTCGTCACGGGCAACACGCTCGTTTTTTCCGCTAAGGTCTAGCTTGATCAAGGGCCGAACGGCATGGCGATGGCCCTACGGACCCTCTCCCCATGGGGAGAGGATCCGTTAACCCTCGCATGTGTAGGGGGGGGGGGGTCGGATGGACCCCCCCATGGTTTTTTGCGAATAACTCGCGTAAAAAGCGGCCGATCACGACGAAACTTTCCGTACCCTCGCATTGATCAATTTTACGCCTACCCTGAAAATTTCATGATCCTGACCCCAATGGCCTTTGACCTGTGAGTTGTGACCTCTTTTCCGAGACCATGTTTGGCCGGAATCGCGATTCCGCATATGTCGGCTCCACTGAACTCTATAATGGTCGCGCGTTTGCAAGATTTTCGTGGTTTCAAACGTTCAAACATGTGATTTGATGTTGCTCCCATGCATTAGGGTGGGTGTCAAGGTCACCTGAAGGTCAGGTCAGGTCAGGTCATTGACCTTTGGTGACCTCGGTTCACTTTTTCGAGTTTTACATGTTTCTAGGCTAGTTTTTGTAGCTGAATTCGAATTTAGCAACCATTTGAACATTTACGAAGTAGTTTTGGTGACTTCGTAACATGCTACGAAGCTGTCGGAGGCGGTTGACACGTATACGTGTCAACTACGTAGTATACTACGAATACCCGTCACGACGCTTACTGGTTCATGGTTGACCTGACCTGACCCGACCTGGTCTAAATGCTTAAAGACATCATCTGTGATCAAAACTAACACGATATTCGTGATCAGCACCCCGAAAACCACTTTGCAGCCACACTTAACCACTTTCTAACAGGTCCCGATTTTCCCGACTTTGGGTCATTGACCTGACCTGGAAGGTCAACCAATGACCCAGGACCTTAAAATTGGGTATCATCGGCTTCCTCTCGTCACGGGCAACACGCTCGTTTTTTTTCCGCGAAGCTCTAGCTCGATCAGGGGCCAAACGGCAAGGGGGGGGGGGTCCAACCTCCCCCCCTACACATTAGAAGCTGGCAAACGCCGCACACATGCGAGGGTTAACCCGCGCGGGGCTGGGGGGTAAATTTTACCCCTCCCTCGCGAATTTTTGCAATATTTCAAAAACGGCGGCGCGCAGCGCCGCCAAACTTTCAGTACCTTTTCGTACATCAATTTGACACGTTCCCTGAAAATTTGAGCGAAATCCTTCGGATTTTTTTTTGAGAAAATAACGTTTTAGTGACGTCATGTTCGCCTTTTTCGCGTCAAAAACGGCAAAATTTCAAACGCCGCTAACATCTTCATTTTTAAGGGAATCAAGATGTAACAAAAAGTTATACGTGATTCCACTTTGTCTATCAAATGGCTATCTCTGTTTTTGGAAATTTTTGATTTAGGCCCAATTTAAAAAAACTGTCTTTTGGGAAAATAATAATAAAATCCAAAATTTTGCGTGTATAAAAAACCGGAATATATGTCAGAGAAGTGGTCCATGTGCACCTACATACCAATTTTTAGAAGAATCGGTTAAAAATGTGGGAGTTATTTAAAATTTTATGACGTCACGATTAACTTTTTTTTTAAATGAAATTTTTGGAAGTTCTAGACCTCGTACGGAAACAAAAATAGCACCATTCGATTCGGCGTGAAAAACTGCATCAGATAGACACCTTTTTAGGCCTTAACCCGGCAGGCGGTGGGCCTCCCAGCCACCTTTCGCGCGGTGGGGGGGGGGGCATTTTTTTGCCCCCTCCCCCCTCGTATCTCCGAAACTACTGGACGGATCCGGAAAATTCGAACGGCGTTCGATAGCCCTGTCAAATTTGTTGAAGGAAACCAAATTTCATTGACCTCGGGGTCACCGATGACGTCACAGGTCTGGTCAAAGATAAAATGTTTCACCGTTCACGGGGCTTCTAGGGAAAGCGCTATAACACCGAGTAAAACGCATTTTGTCGAAAATCAGCGATAAGGCGTCAGTTGTCTAGTACATATGTTGCTATTAGAGGTCACTGGTCATACCAGGTCAGGTCACAGGTCAGGTCACCAAAGGTCACCAAGGGTCACCACATGAACCCAACTTTACTAAGGTTGTGCGATGCATGTTTTATGGCCAGTTTTTCATTTCCAACTCAATGGTTTTGGTTAAAAGACCATCAGGTACGGTTTAGGTCACTTTCTGGTGGAGGTCAGGTCAAGGTCAGGTCGAAAAAGGTCAAATTTCAAAGTTGATATTTTTGCATAAAATGGGTATCGATTCGATGCAGCTCGTTACGTGGAGTCTAATGTTGGTCTTTGTTTTGCGCTACGAGGTCTAGAATTGCTAAAAATTGAGTTTGAAAATTTGACGTCATCAATTTTGAACAGTTTTTTCGCTATAACTTGGCCAAAAAAAGAGGTATTGATCTCAAATTTGGTATGTAGATAGAAGGCGGTAGGGACTATCACATATATTCCGTTTTTTTGAAATTCAAGTTTTTTTTTTGCTATTATTTTCAAAAAATCTATTTTTTGATTTTTTTGGGGTCAAAATCCAGAAAATTCGAAAAACCGAAATAGCAGTTTGGAGCCCTCTTGATTTAACACCTTTTATGTCTGGAACATTTTTCTGTATCGCTAAAGCTGTAGGCCTGACAGCTCTTCCCGCGAAACCTTTTTTTTGGTCGAAAATGGCAAAAATGACGTCACTCTGACGTGAATAGCGGCCAACCTATCATAGCCTTTGGAAAAATTTTTGGTTGCCATGTGCTCTAGCTACTCCCGGGAGGGTACTGAAAGTTTGGTGACGATCGTCGCAGCGGTTCTCGAGATATATCGAAAAAACTAAAGGGGGGGGGGCAAAAAAATTCCCCCCCCCCCCGCCGCCTGGAAGGTTAACAACCAACTTCGAAATTTGACCTCACTTGACCTGACCTTGACCTGATCTCGACCTGAAATTCATCCAGATGTGGTCCATATCACCTATTGAGTGTGCCTATTGAATTCTATGAATAAAATGACCCATAAAACATGTGTCGCACATGCCCTTTTCTATATTTTGTTTTTGGCGACCTGACCTGACCTGACCTGACCTTGACCTTGACCTCTAAATGATATTGTATGCAACGAATATTGTCTTGGTAGCCTAAGAACACGTTTTGGGCAATCAGTCGCAGTCCATGACTCCATTCTTCGGCAACTACGGTGCAAGGCCGATGAAACTTGCAATTTGTACCCTTGACCTGATCTTGACCTTGACCTCAAACTTTGAATTAAGTAGGGTAGACCGGGGCAAGTCGCCCCGCCGAGGTAAAACGCCTCACCGATGTTTCTCGGAACTGGCAAGGTTCTGGAGAAACATAATCTTTTCTGTAAAACGTGCACTATATGATCATTATATGAGCAGACTGGAAAAAATGTGATGACTCTTTAGGGAGATATAGCCAAAAATGTGTTTTTGGAGTGATTTTTATGTTTTGTTGTCAGCTTATGCATCATGGCGTTCTTTTATGGTCCACATCAGGTTAACGACTTTTATATATTTTGAACAACTTTATTCAACGCTTTTAATGCCGGGCTGGTTCGTGTTAAATTATGCCTTGCTGGAGTGCAAGGCGTTGTTCTCTGACCGAACTACGTGATGGGGTAAAACGCCCCAGTAGGTCGCGGGGCAAAACGCCCCATGGGGCGTTTTACCTCATGTGTTGTTCGGACTACCCACTTCCTAATGTTCGGTAGCTGGCTAACAGTAAGTTTCTATGCATTTATATGTACTTTTCTCAGCAAGTGGATGGCAAAGGAAGTATTTTGTTAACATTTCCATTGCAATAATTTATTATTTGGCCTTATGAGGCAGGTGAAAAACCTGCTCATACAATAGTGTCATAGCTGAACACCTGATAGGATGGAAGGAGCTAACTTCAGTGCCGTGCTTCCCAAGGTCTAACAGACCTCTCATATAGGATTTAAGTCAACTAGCATGTTTATTCTTTAATCTAGAGTATGGGGCTTCTTGCCCC